AGATAGATTAAAGGGAGAAGGAAGATTCGAAGGTTGTGTCGAGTTGAAGCGTCGAATATCTCGGTGCTTGGTCCATCAAAACCGCTTCCTCGTAAGTAGGTGGTCGATCGGCATGACACCTCGATTTTAAAAAAGTTTGCCTACATCGCCTTCTATCGCCGTAAGCCCGTAGGATAACGATAAGGGGCCCTAAAAGCAGCATAACTACACCGATCGCCAGCATCGTTATAGCGACAGCCACGCCAATTCGGTTAACAGGAGTGCGCTGTAATTTCTTTTCGAACTTATCGGTGCTTGTTAGCGCAGTGAAATTAGCAGTGTCAGAGTTCGACTGAAACAATACGCTTGACGTGTCCTCGTCGATTGTGGTGGTTGTTTCTTCGACATAAAAACTTTGATCGGACGTAGCTATTGTACGGATGCTACTTCCTCTTTTATTTCGTTGTTCATCTTTATTCTCGTTAGACGTACGAATGTTCAAAGTTTGTATCGCACGGATGCCACGAGGATCTTGTTTGCGATCAATTGTAGTTTGTTTCCCGACGGAAATACCATCTGCTCGATGAGGAGCATACGGCTTAAGCGACAACCATATTCCGTTTCGCCTAGCCGTTTCGGAACCGTCAAGAGCCAACACCACCTCTTTCCGTCGAGTTACAATCTCAGCAATTCGGTGACGATTTTCTGTGATACCCGAGTCTTGAATCAGCTTGTCTTCATTCCGCTTCGCGATCCTTTCCTGTGAAAATATGGTTCTCGATTCTTTTGCTAGTTGGTCTTTCTGCACCGAATCATATACATACGCGCGTATACGTAAATCAAAGAAATTTCGAGAAAACTAGTGCGATTTCGATATATACCGATTAGCTACAAGACATCCCGTTTTACCACTGGGAAGATAATAGAATTGAAATGTACATCCGAATGGTAAACTAAACTAAATGGTAATATGTATATGTATCCATGTACGACGTATATGTTGTCATTATTGGCCAACGCTCTTCTCGACACGCGCATCGTATACAAGAGTAATGCACGATTATCTTCAAGTAAAACATCTTATTTTTTCGTGATCGATAGAAATGTCAAACCTGTGTATCGGCAGTGTCATTTCGTAGCGTCTCCTCGATAGCGCGTAAAGATTTTGCACCTTTTCGAAGAAGTAAAATCCCAACGACACTCCAAACGGTTAATTGAAAAATTACTATTAATTTCGGAGTCCATTTATTGGTTTGTGTACTGAAAGACATCTCTTAAAAAAATGTTGCACGTTGGCGACGTTGGAACGATCGGTTTACGCCTGAATCACAACGGATAAAACATCGATGGAGATCAATTTCATTGAAGAGAAAACAAACGAAACAAAAAGGAAAAGAAACTGCTTATTTTTACCGTTAAGAACTTACTTCCGGCTGAATTTCAGGTTTTTCGATTGGAAGAAGGTAGATGTTACGTACTCTACGACTCCTTTATCCTAAAATCAATCGGTAAACTCTGAAAAAATTATATATATGATCTCGTAATGATTAATCGATTCGAAAGGTAAACGAGCCGAAAATCTTTGAAACAGTTGTCAACTCACATTCTGAAAAAAGGAAAGGCTCGATCGATGCGACGAGTAAAGTATTGTCGGTACATTAAAGGCAAAGTAGCTGTAACGTCATTTCGATACTGTTCTGTTGCTCCCGCCTTTACCTTTGCTTCGAGCAAATATGGCAACGCCTAGCCGATTAGGCTGATCATTGATATCTATAGAAAGAAACGATCGTTAGCACGATTTAACTCTTCGCATTTCCCATGTTCACGATCAAATGCAAATCGTCGTGTCAAAATCAATCGATCGAAATGGAAGAATCGCGTTCGTTTAATCACACGCTATTGGCACGACGAATCTTTTCTCTTTACCTTTGGCTGTCGTGTTTCTTCCTTTATAATATATTGCACTCTGTCAAAATGCTGTTAGTTAAAATCGATCGGTACGGTTTCATCGATACGAACTTGTTATGTACACTTGTTGGATCGAATTTATGCCGATCGATCATAACTGACGGTTCGCTTGCTCGACCGCTTACGCTTGCACGACCGTTCGTTCGTTGGTTCGTTCGTTGATTCGTTCGTTCGGTCAGTTTGTCGTTGACGAATAACGCATACGTCATATGCTGTACACATCGGCAGTTACGATCGCCTCGACGCTTTTCCTTCTAGCCGATTCGCGATTAAATTCGCTGTCACGTGTTCTTTCAAGTTTTCGGTTTTCTTATCAAAATTCTAATATAATAATTATTAATTATCACGTTTGTACCCATCGCAACAGACAACGGAGAGAATAGAGGACGATATACATCGATCGAGTCTCATAATATGCGTACACCAAATTATTGTCATGCTACTCGTTTCTCAGCAAATAAATCTTGTATTATCGTAACTGTAGTTTAGTTTTCAAAGTGAATAGACGTTTAGGTACTTGTCTAGGTACTTGCATAGTTCGGAAAGAAGAGTCGCAAAAGACTAACGCGCAATGTTGCAATGAAAATGCTAGTAGAACATTCTTTTGTTTTTCTTTTTAGAAATATATTAAGATACGTACGTATTAAATACGTACTGCATGGTATGCATACGCTACAAACAGCTTCCAACTTGGTTGCGTGGCCATAGAGGAAAGGAGCAGCGCATCGCTAGCTCCATCTAGACTAACCTATAATATTTCAAACAAATTTCGATTTACAGTTCATGTTTACGTTTCATGTTTATCATTGAAATTCGTGGTTACATCTAATGATAAATCTGATCAATCCGTATCCTTTACTTCTGGTAAAGGATATCAGATTTAAAGCAGACTAAAGAAAAATCTATTCTCACTCGCCGATCCTTCAGCTTCTAACGATATTTTTAAACGGCAACGGCAGGTTGTAGAACTTGTAACTGCGCCGCCTATTGGACTGTATTTCAGCATAATCGCGTGATTAATAATCGTGTTGTCGAATACAACATTTCAGGTATTGCTAAATAAAACTATGAATTCGATAGTTGTATGCATTCACGATCAAAGTTACTCAAGTTTTTAGCGGTTTGACGTTGTACTGTCGTATCTAATCGATGCACGATAACCTCGTCTCGAGTGACTTTTTAGTTTGTCCATGCATGTGCTACATTGCGCGCATCGTTCTACACCAAAGAATGTTATGTGTCATTCAAAGATGATAAAAATAACAAACGATTAAAATCACCTGGAAAACAGTGTCTAGATACACTCGAATTGGATAGAATGACTCGCGAGATGGGGGATGTCGAAGAATTTAAACTAGTTGTTTCTCGCCGAAAGAAACGCGTGTCTCACATTCGAAACAAGTGTGATTCGAATGTACCTTTATCAGTCAACGACAACGAGAACGATCATTTTAACGATGTTAATTGTGAATCCCTTTTCGGGTAAGACATTATTATTGTTTTAAGACCACCGAGTGTACGTACATTTTATTTTACAATAATTTTCAGAAGACTGCTCGAGACGGAGACTGAATTTAGAGATTCGTTGTTTGCCGATAATGTTTTCCACTGTATAAAAACATCTTTGAATGCTTTGAATGTCAGTGGTATTTCAGAGATACTGTGTTACGGTCTGGGTTCTTTCTCGAGTCAGAAATCTGCCAAGTATCAGTTGGCATTGCTACTGTCTTTGAAAAATCATTATTGTTCGCGAGTACGTGTGTACGATCCAATTTTTACCCCGATAGAAATGAAGCTTTTAACAAGATTCGGCTTGGATGTTTTAAATGTTAACGAGGAAGGCAAACGGATCGTCGAGGATGATACGACGCTTGTTTACATGCCCCACTGTTCGATACATTTAATTAATAATTTCCTCTATGCCAATTGGGGTAAGAGGTTAAGCAAATGTATTCTTTTGACTAATAGCTTCTCCGTTGTGGTGGATAATTTAATAGCATCCAATGTGTCTGTTCGAGTCGATTATATCGTGCGTATTCGACCATACGTCAGAGAAATTACTTTGCGAAATAATTTTCCGCACGAACAAGTATTCAACGATTTGAACATTCACATATTTTTGGAAGAAGATATCGCTAAAGTGCCTGGGAATTTCTGGACTGAGAGAAAAGAACCCTGCTACTCGAACACGATCATTGACTATTTCACTGTGAAACAAACGGAAGAAATAGATGCTAAGAACTATAATTATCTTTCTAGGTATTATTTCATTCTTTAGATTCAGAAAGAACGCACGTGTACCATAGAAAGTGTACAGTGTTTTAGCATATGTGAGAGTTTTTCTGTCAGATTTAATCAGAAATATAATTGTCGATACGATTTTATCTGTTGTAGGTTGACTCGATGACGAAAACCAACGTACAATTGATTCGTGCGCTTATACAAGAAATTCGACGGTCGACATCCGAAGGAAAGGGGCAAAATGATATCATGGTGCGTTACATTTTGGAGCAGGCACGGGCTCATCGAGAAACTTCCGAAGTGTTGTGTAAAGCTCGAGAGGAGCTGAAAAATTTGGCGGAAACATATTTATGTTATTTGAATTCTCGGCGAATCTGTAAAGAAATTCTAACCCGGTACAGTGGTAAAGGTGAACGAACTACTCAAGAAACTGCGGACCTTCTCGGATTTAAATTACCTCACGATCCGATGTAATCCTCGTCTGTAATAATTCTGAACGAAGTATAATACAAATTTATTGAAGAATAAGTTTGTACAAAGAAGTAAAAAACTGTAATGTATAAAACGAAGTAGAAAAATAAAAATGCACGAGTAATAATGAAAAGTTTACGAATATTCTTTACGAATACACTTGGCTATGGTCGATAGCTGCATGTTACTGGTCCCTTCGTAAATAGTACCAATCTTGGAATCTCTGAAGTATTTTTCTTGAGGAAAGTCGGTCGTGAACCCTACGCCACCCATGAAATCGATGCACTTTGCGGTGACGTGCAGAGCCGTTTCTAAATGTTTTCAAATTTATTCGAAACATTTATTTATTTGAAATCTATTTTCTCTATTTATTATCATCGAGGTTTTTACTACTGTTTTACTAGTTTGTTTACTAGGTTTTCACTAGTCTTTTTACCACTTACCGGAAGCAACGAGCTTCGCCATGGCGGCTTCTTTAATAACGTCCTTTTTCGCATCGACTAATCTGGCAGCATTGTATACCAATAATCTGGCACACTCGAGCTCGGTGACCACTTGAGCAATTTGGTGTTGCATAGACTAAGAAAACAGACGAAACGATTGTGTATAGATGTTCTTTCTGTCTCGTTATGTTCACGTTGGAGAAAAATATGAATTTTCTTATACTTGAAACGAGAAAATATCTTTTCCAAACTGCTTTCTTTCCAAGGTGTACGGTATAGTAGCATCCACGCAGCCTTGCGCTATACCAATCATTTGAGCTCCGATACCGATACGACCTTCGTTTAAGAACCCAGCAGCGTATTTGTAACCATGCCCAAACTCTCCTACGATGTTAGTTTCCGGAACCTGAGTAGATTTCATGTACAACGAATGCATAAAATAACCTGCTCTATGTAGAAGCAAGTAGTCTCTGGTAGTATATTTGCGTATATCCGATCTCGAGGAATCGTTTTCCTTACTTGAACATTATCAAAATGGACCATGCAGGTACCCGACGCTTTTATTCCGAGTTTATCCTCCGGTTTGGCAACTGTCAGCCCAGGTGTATCCCGTTCCACGAAGAACGCTGTGATACCACGGTATCCCTACAATCGAATATTAAATATCACTCGAATCGTCGTTTGACTATTGGTAAAAAGATTGGTCAAATTCGAAGTAGAGTGAAATCAAATAGTAATGCTTTGAACTTACGATAGACGGGTTGGCGTTAGCAAAAACTATAAATAATTTGGCAATGTCCGAATTTGAAATCCACATTTTTGTACCGTTTATCAGGTAATGGGAGCCAACGTGTTTTGCTTCAGTCTTCAAGGAAAACGCATCGGATCCCGATCCAGGCTCCGTTAGACAAAAGCTACCCGCCTAAAGAAAGTACGGTGAACTAGTGCGAGTAGTCGAGAACTCGTTACTCGTCGGTTAATGTCCACTTACGTAATCCTGAGCTAATCCTGGCAAATACTTTGCTTTTTGTTCTTCCGAAGCGACTTTTGAAATCAACGAATTCACCAATGTATTATGGATATCGACTAGCGCTGCAACAGATCCATCGATCTTTGCCAGTTCTTCTATCGTTAAGATCGTGGACATGAAATTGGATCCAGAACCACCATATTTTTCGGGAATCTCAATGCCCATTAGCTAAGCCGAATAAAAGAAGATGCTGATAAACGTATACTATACTGATGCAGTGAAAAGATCCGTGCCATTTACGTACACCATTTTCGAACAGTTTTCGTAACAATCCCTCGTCTATCTTGCCTTCCTTGTCCATTTTACGTACGAGCGGAGCGATTTCTTCTTTCGCAAATTTGCTAACTAAACAACAAATTCTATTACACGTTATATTACATTACAGGGCAGATTTCATATCATTCGTTGGCAAGGAACATCGCTTGGCTCCTTCCAGCTGAGCATGGGTAACCGTAACCGTAAATAAGTTTAAGTGCAGAATAATATTGTATTGTATTGTAACTACCAGTTTCTTTCATCAAAAGTTCTTCGTCCGTGAACTGAGAGAGAGGTCCTGGACACTGATCGTTCCGTGGTGTGCTTGTACTCAAATACCTTTTAAAGTATGCATTTCGTGGCACCTGAATTGAATTATTCAGCGATTAATTATTAATAGGGAATAGCGTAAAATGGAAAAAAACGCAAATACATAAATACATAAATGCATAAATACATAAATACATAAATACGTAAAGACGTGCGAAATAAGATAATTGCGCAAAAGGGTCGAAAATGCGGAGACATGTTTTCCTAACTGACAAGTAGTATCTGCTTTCAATCAGCTTCGAGAATAAATGAAAAAAAGCTCGATGACGTCAGATTGCGATATTCCATTAACGTACTCGTGAAATAATTCGCTGCGATGTACAAAGTTTACATTAAGATGCGATAAAGTAACGCTATTGCTGCTGAATATCAATTACAATCGGCAGCTTGATTCGAATAAATTGAAAGTAATGACTTCTTTTATATCAATTTATACCGATACATATCGAATACATGTATCTTCTATGATAATGTTTGTCGTCGACTGTCCGATGAATGAAACGAACGACAAGCGCTTAGAATCGTTTTAATTGTAAGTAGGCCGGTGTACGGTGTATCGTAGATCGTGCATCGTGCATCGTATACCGAATCGGTAAAATGGAAAGCGCATCGAAGGGTCGAATGCGAGAGTGCGATGTGTACGTTACGTTTACGTATTATCAACATTCATTTCTGCGAGTAAATATGGTACGTGTGACGAATGGAATATCGATGGTATATCAAAGGTACGATTAAAAGGTATACACCCATTATTTCCATACAGTATAGAGGAATAGTGCCTTTGAAAAGTAGCATTACGCGCTATCAGGTTTGTCAGTTTAAAATGAGTAGAATAATTCGTACAGCAGTAAGAGACTAGTGTTCACCTTGGATATACCAACAGTTTCAACGATGTATTCGATATTGTATTCCAAGTTCCATTTTGAATGTTCGTTCCAAGTTAATTGAAAGAAGGTCGATTGAAAGTCGAGATCCAAGGACAGTGACCTCTTCCTCTAAATAATTGACAGAACTTTTTTCTGTTTGGCGAACGATGTTTCATTAGAATTTCCGATATACTGTTTTCATTGAAATATCGAGAATATTTCGTTTCGATCTTACCCCGCATGCCGTTACATGTAATTACATTTTTACGATATGGAATACAATTACAAGATTATTAACGTTAAGAGGAGAAATTGCAAGGAATAGAATTGGTTGTGTATACCCACTTGTATCAGCGATGCCATTGAATTTCTATTTATTTTCAAGGTGATGCTCCGGATGGCCATTTTTATCGATACTCTGTGTGAACCGATCCGGTGTAAAATAAAAAATCGAATTAACGAATCGACGAATCGACGAACCGAATAAAGGAGATGCACGTGTTGCCTGGTTCCAGGCTAAATCAACACTGACTGGATCGTGGCATTATGAACGTCGGCCTCCCTCGAACCTCCGTTCACAGTCTCTTCTGGTCGAGCGTCGAACAGGTTCTTATATAAGAAGAAGAAGAAGAAGAAGAATTTTGACTGTAATCGTGAACGTCTCTCCGAATGATGCGTCTTATGTAAATTGTTACATTTCGTTAGGCAGATGTTTACTCAAGATCGCTGTCTAGATACTTGAGAAAACGATAAAACATTTTTTTCAATATTCCTCTACGCATATTCCTTTTCGTATTCATATTTTTCTTAGAGTTGCTTTACGCTCTCCACACACTGTATTCATCTTTCGATTATTTTCTTTCCTTTTATAGCTGTTTTCTAGATCCGTGATCCATAATTCTATTGCGATCGATTACAACTCGTCAACTCTAAACGCGACGTTACAAGTGTGCAATTCTCATACGTTTATCGGCGTACTTTAAACTATGTATACACATGTGTCTACGTGTGCCAACTTATTGCGCGCGATAAATAAGATATCTGGGCCAGAGAGAGAGAGAGAGAGAGGATCAAACAAACGAGAAACAACAATTCTACATCGATATGCAACAATATGCTATGATGTGCGTGCGATGATGCGGATGTGTGTGTACATTCACGTGGCACATGTTACCGTATATCGCTAAATGCGCGTGTATGCATTATGTAATCCCATCTATGTGTATCGACTGTGCAGAAAATACGCCGGATAAACGTCGACGCGAAAGAGGAATCCTTGTACGATAACACAGAGTATTTTCAATTTGCTTCGCGATTGCAAACGTCACTGTGATTCCGACGATACTGCATCGCTTCGATGTTATAGCAGAGGATACTCGAATACTTTCACGTTCGGATAAACGGCATTGCAAACATGACAGAAGAGAATATGCAAACGGATCCGTTTAAAGATTTTTAATATTACGCTACGCGGTCCAACGTTCGAATGTTCCCATTCGACGCTTACTTCAGGCCAGTCGATCGACTAAACCGTGTAACTTCGAGAATCGATACTTGGTTGAAGTGCCGCGAATGTTTGGTGAGTCGATGCGCAGGAAGATTGTGCGCATGTTCCGCATGTTCAATGTAGGTAGAATTAGACGAAGAACACTAACGGAGAGAGAGAGAGAGAGAGAGAGAGAGATAGAGTTCGGGCAAGGAGGGAGAGAAGGAGAGAGAGAGTGACACAGTACCTACATGTGGAGCAGAGAGACGAACAAGTTGTACGTACGAGTAGTAACGAAACCGTTGATACGCAAGGTGGACGAGTTGCTCGGCGAAAAGAAGGAATCGTACGTAGGAACATGGTAAAATCGTAACTGGACGGATTTCGGAGAACGTTCGAGTCTGGAAGAGGCTGACACGAGTGTAAACGAATAGGTTATACGGTGGCCATTCGATTTGGTGGAGCAAAGCAAAAAGGGGCGCTTGGTTTTCAAGTGTGAACGACAAAAGGTGGACAAAAGGAGGTGGAAGTGGTGGTAGTGGCGGTAGTGGCGGAGGTGGTGGTGGTGGCGGCGACAGTAGTAGTAGTAGTACGGTGGAACCAAGAGGTGGAGAAGGCTCGAGGAAGGCTCTGCCAGCCGCCGGAAGAGCATCGACGGCGACGGGGGCGGGGAAGCTGTCCACCGAACGGAACGACTGCTCGGTGATACGAACGGCGAGTCGAAAGGTTTCCTGAACGGATACGAATATACAAACTGTCGAGGATAATCAGCAATTTTCTGTCAGGTAGGTTTCTCGAAGCAACCGCGGAAGCCGCGTTTCTCCCGTAAATCGCGTTTTCCTGTTCGCATACTCGCGTTCGGACGCGACAGAGAATCGTGGCCACTAATAATTGACAGGAATGACGTAGCTTAAGGGGTGTGTCGTCGATTAGGCGGCAATCTTGGATAGTTTTTCGAGTGCCGATAATCGCTTCCGAATAACGGTTCACCGTTGATCCTCGAGCATCGAAATTCGACCGCGTACTCTGTATACAAGCATCTCGCGAAACAATTATAACGGTAATTATCGAGATACTTGCCGCGATAGTTACGCCATCGAAAACCGTCGTTCTGTGTCGCTGTATCGCCATTTGCATTGTTAAATCATTGACCTTATTTTCTTCCCATTTCCCATCGAAGGGATCAAATTTCTGTGGGTGTACGTTCAGCAACTGGTAAATGGAAGATTCGGTTGGATAAACAAGGTTGGTCGGTTGGTTCTCTGTCTCTGGTGTTGGCTACTAGAATTTTTCGTTGGACCATGCCCACATCGACGAGGCGGAACATAACATTCTAGGAACAGGATTTTCTCTATTCTCCGTGTCAGAGTTGTCCGATTCGAACGGAACACGTCGATTCGCGTTTCTTTCCTTTGCACTCTCGCATTTCATCGATTCGCGGCAGGGGAACGCTGGTGGCCCTCGACGTAGTCGTCGTTCGGACGTTGCAACATTTCTGAAAAATCTTGTAGAAATATCTCTCGGATGCGAGCGTGGTGTATTACGTGTCGAGACGAAGCTCGACCCGGTGCGACCGAAATAAAAGTTTGTATCGTTGCACAACTTTTTACAGGCTCGAATAAAATACAGGAACGTGTAGAGATTCGTAGATACGAATCTCGGTCATTTGGGCGTATTCGCACGAATAACCTTGTACCGAGTTCGTCTCGACGTCCTCATGATCAGCGTGTAATTTAGTAAGCGTTGATACAACGCCGATACGAAACGGGATGGAAGAAGGATGCAGTGTACAGCGTACGTACGTACGGTATGCTGCGGTGCGGTGCGATACGGTGCGATACGGTCCGATACGGCGCGGTGTCATACTCGTGTCCGCATATTCCGATGGCTAAACGTTTCGGGCTGTCTGAAATGTTCGAGGCGATACATTTGCTCGAAGGAGCGTCCGATAGGAAGTACATCTCGCAACGTTCCGACAAACAAATGCATAGCCACCTCGTCTCTTTTAGTCGGGGAAACTCGAGACCGCCCGCGCGCAATCTATCGTCTATGGCTTGGAAATAAACTGGCTGCTCTCTCCGGTTTCGATTCTATAGAAGGTATGCTCTCACCTGTGCGCATTCGTTATCTCGATCGTTTACTCGAGTACTTTTATTCGAATTCACGACGCTACCATTCGTTTCGTCGGTCTAACGTAATCGCGGAATGGCAGAACGCGGTTGGCTTGTATTTAGCAACAACCCGAGAACGCTTTTACTCTGGGTGTTGTGTTGGAAATCGGCACATGCGATTACGAATATTCGTAAAACTGCCGATACACCGGTGTCGTTTGGTATTTTTCCATGTATACTCGCAGAGTACGAGTACGTTGAGATTGGCTGCACGCGGTATATACACCAGCCATTCAACGATGGCAAAGTAAGCTTCGCGTTTTAAGTTATGACATCATCGTGTCGAGGAACAGCGGACGCGTCACATTAAGCATCTCGCGCGCGATACGTGTCCTATTCGGCGCGGACCATTATCTATCTTGCTTTACGCTTTCAATTCGTTATCGAGTATATTTCGCATTGCCGATACACTCTCCGCTACTTTCCAATTACATCCTGAGAAGGGATTGAAATTTACATTCTTCCTACATGCCACGACACACACTCCCGTCCCCCGAGAACACACGCACACGCAAAATAATCGATTGCGAGTACCGGTTATGAATAAAGAGCGTCCAATTGATGTTTGCTGTTAAATAACACTGATGAACATCAATTGATGGGATTAAATTATTTAGTCGCGATTAATTGCGCGTTTCAGCAGAGTACGACCAAGGTGCATTTTCGAGCATCGAAATGCCGAGCACTTGTCGCGTAGTTGCGTATTTCGAACGAAGGGTGGGAACACGAAACGCGCCCTTAGTCGACGACCAAGAAGAAGAAGAAGCAGTCGTTCTCTCGACGAACGAGCGTGTCGTTGCCGTTTTTCTCGATAGAAACACCACCGAAGGATAGATGGAATGTGAAACTGCGAAGGTACAGTGGGAGAAAACGGAAGACGAGATGCGACCGCGGTGTATAAATAAGCGTAGTAAGAATTTTAGAAAACGAAAACGGGAAAAAACCACGAAAGAAATGAAAGAGAAAAGAGAAAAGGGAAAACAGGAGCGCGGTGGAGTTTCAGCCGTTCTAGGGATTCCAGTCGTCGGTTCACCCCTACTGTCTACGCATTCGACGCGCGTTACACTTGACTGTTGGCTGCGAGTTTATTGATCGTTTGCTCACTTCTACCGGTTTTCTGACGTTTTTCATGTTTCGTCGATCGCGACGGAATACCGACGAATATATCGTGCTACCGAATAGCTGAATTAGAATTCTCGAACCACCAGGGGAGCAGCAACGATCGATACTTGTTTATTCGACAAATTTTCCAGAGTTTCGACAAATTGCAGCCAGACCGATCTTATTCGTAAAGGATTTCCTCGCGTTTACGCTCGCATCTGCTAGACGGGTTTTAACGAAATTTTTCTTCTTGTAGTCGAACCGCAACCCCCCTTTCATTCTCATAATCGACGAATCGCATAAGAAATTGCTGCAACGTGGGTGGATTCGCTTGGATACACGAACAACAATTTGTTTTAGCCGGTATCCAGTGAAGGGAGAGGAAGTAAGAGACGACGGTGGCGGTGGCGGCGGTGGCGGTGGTGGCTGCGGTGGCGGCGGCGGCGGCGGTGGCGGCGGTAGTAGTGGTTGAAAAAGTCGAGTTGGAGGAAGAGGAAGAAGAAGAGGTGAACGGGTAGAACGGCAACGGAAACTAACATACGTGTGTATAGTTTAGGGGAGAAGGAACGAATAGGAAAGTATAAGAATCGGAATAAGAATACGAATAAAAATAAAAATAAAAATAAAAATAAAAATAAAAATAAAAATAAAAATAAAGAGCATCGTCGTTAAACTTGTTAAAAATGGCGGACACGAGTGAACAACAAACCTTGTCCGAGCCACACACGAATGGAGTAATGGACGGTTTGACGGAGGAGGAAAAGAGTAAAATGAGGCCTGCCGATATCGATGCGGTAACATATTTCACGGAAAATACACGTAATTCGGTCGAGTTTCATTTCCAGATACATTTCTGAATCTTCTCTTTGTAGGACATGAGAGAAATGGAGAGGAGGAAGAGGGTCGAGATGATGATGAACTCGCGACTGTTCCGAGAGGAGCTGGAACGGATAATCGAAACGCAAATGAAAGATGGTGCCGGGCCGTCCGGTCTTTTGCAGCAAATCTCGGATATGATGGGTGCGCAAGGTGCTCGGTTCAACGGCAATGTGTTCAAAAGTAGGTTGACCGAATCGAGAACGATTCCGGTGTTGAGAACTGTTTAGCTGACAATTCGTTCCGTTCGCAGGCTCGAATTGCGTATTGCCCATCAATGACATTCGTGGCGTTGAAAGCATGGGCTATGCGAAAGGAGAGAAATTGTTGCGCTGCAAGTTGGCAGCAGTGTTCAGATTGTTGGACCTTTATGGCTGGACTCAAGGCGTGGGAGGGCAAATTACGGCTCGCTTGAACCAAGATCAAGAACACTTTTTAGTCAATCCGTACGGGTTGCTTTACCACGAAATCACCGCTTCGAGTTTGGTCAAAGTCGACATGCAAGGGACGATCGTGGAACAGGGAACGACTAACTTCGGGGTCCACGTGACGGGATTTCAATTACATTCGACGATTCATGCTGCCAGGCCCGATATCAAGTGTATCGTTCACATTACCACTCCGTCCGTTACTGCTGTAAGTGAACCCCGGCCCCCGCTCTGGCCAGTTCTCTTTGTCTCTCCTCGCGAATCTCTGCTCGGAGAACATCTAACCCCGATTCTCTATTCCATTTTGCAGATTTCCTCTTTAAAATGCGGTTTATTGCCTATCGGACAAGAGAGTATAGTAATAGGGGAGGTGAGCACGCATCAGTATATCGGTGGATCCTTTGAGCCGGAGGAAAAGGAGAAAATAGCCAGAAATCTTGGTCCAGTGAACAAAGTGATGTTATTGACGAATCGTGGTGCTCTCTGCTGCGGGGAAACCGTCGAGGAAGCCTTCTTCAATGTTTACAATACGGTGTTGGCTTGCGAGACGCAGTTAAAATTGATGCCTGCTGGACTCGATAACCTAAATCTCATCACGGAAGAATCGAAGAAAGCTATATTCGAAGCTTCCAGGAAACCGCCAACTCCGCAGCAAACGGCTCCGATCTCCGAGAGCACTGCTCTAGCCGAAAAACTTGAGAAGCGTTGGCGAATCGGTGGAACTGAATTCGAGGCGCTCATGAGGATGCTCGACAATGCTGTAAGCGTTAACATTCTAGATTCCGCCTTTGCCGCCTTTCTCCCGTGGCTCTGCTGCGCGTTCCCCTTGCAACGTACAACCAAAACTTGCGGTTCATTTGTTTATTCCTTATAGGGATTTCGTACGGGTTACATATATAGAAATCCATTAGTGAAAGGAGAACCCCCACGACCCCGTAACGACGTGGAAGTACCACCCGCAGTCTCGTCTCTAGGATATCTGCTCGAAGAGGAAGAACTTTATAAACAAGGGTAAATACGCGTGCAGTCGTGTTACTTGCTACGCGTTCACGGAGAGTTGGCATTCCCCGTGAACGCGCGATACGCGTGCGAATGCGATTAGATATCTGGAATGATTAATTTTCATTTGTCGACAGGCTCTGGAAAGGTGGTCGGAAGGGCACAGACAGATCACGTTGGTTAAACTCTCCAAATGTGTATCAGAAGGTTGAAATATTGGAGACTGGAACTCCCGACCCGAAAAAGATTACGAAGGTAGAGGTTATCACTTTTGAAAATAAAAATGAGTAGACGCAAAAGCACATTTCCGTACAGAAAAACATATAAAAGGAATGTAAGGTGCGTGTAGTACTTTGAAAAAGTGTCAGTCGTCATCAACAATCGTAAATATTTCACGTGCACGTGTTCTTGAATGTTCTTCGTATCTTCGTTTCTTAAGGAACGTATCGTTCGCTATCGATTAAAATTAAAAGAAATTGTACGCGCAACTTTTTGTAGCTATTACGTATTTCGTTAGACGATAAGCAAGAGAAGAACGGTGAACACTCGATACTCTCTTGGAATTCTTTCACATTCGCGAACCCCGAATATCATTCCCATGGAAACGAACAAAACTTTCTTTTCTTTTTTCTTTACCGTTCAAGAATTTTTTTTCGAATTATTTCATTGCTATTACCATGTATAGCTGCCGCATCGCTATCTTGATCGTCCTACGTGTATCGCGCGGTGAAAGATTCTAATATTCTGCTATATGCATTCCACTGTATGCTATTTTAACGGCAAGTACGAAAGAAAGGGAGAGAAGAGCGAGAGAGTGAGAGGG